TTTCTATTTCAAGTGTCGCGTTGGCCACTACACCTTACCCATAGCTGATTATGTCAGGCCCAAAGGCACTCGTCTTACTCGTCATAGCTCTGATCTAGACGTACTAATTCCTAAGTGCCGTACAAAGCTCTTTCAATTTAGTTACTTTAATCGTGTCGCTAAACTATGGAATACCTTACCTGTATCCACTCGTATTATTAGTTCTCTCAATCAGTTTAAATCTCACGTACTCCAACGCTATTCCGCTGCTTTTCGTACAAACTATGACGTCACTAACTTCAACACCTGGAAGTCGATCTGCTGCAAATGCAGCAGGTCACGTGATCTTCTATTAGATGGTAACTGTTGCTATTAGGACTTTCTATCGGCCGCATAAGGGATTTATTCATATCGTTTTCGTTTTTGCTTTTATTATTGTATATACTTTTTTATATACTTTTTACACTGTCTGTTGTTTACATAGTTAGTATTTGTATATTTCTCGTAAGGGCACACTTAATTTGGAGCCTCGCTCTGTTGTGTGTCCCGCACCCTTGTCCTCCGTTCTCTTCTGTCTCTTGTTCATATGTATATTTTAGTCCTTTTAGTATTGTAAGTATGGTGAAAGCGATTAAATAAAATAAATAAATCTCACCGATCAGCCTGAGCAACAGAATATTCTGAATAAAGGCTGATACTTTCTAAAGAAACTGTTTGGGGCTGCGTCGGTGGAGGTAACGAAATAATTTGGATATATCAACAAAGTTGAAATGGCAAATTGGCCACCGTAACGATTACAAAAGCTGACGTTTCGAGCGTTAGCCCTTCGTCGGAGCGAATGGTCCTGAAATTCGGACCGCTCGAAACGTCAGCTTTTGTAATCGTTATGGTGGCCAATTTACCATTTCAACTTTGTTGATACATCCAAATTATAACAGAATATTCTGACGATCGAAAGCAGTGAATGAACTAGTACATAGTGGTTAACAGGTCACAATAAATTCCGGTTTGTAATTTCTTCCGCTTTTAATATTTCTCTCCATCGTATTAAGCAAATGGGAAAAGGTTGGAAAATAAAACAATTGGCCGGTCGATGGAACAGAGCGGTGTCCAAAAAGAGCAAGTTACAGCCAATAAACTTAAAAGAATAACAAAAAGAAACTGTTTAGTTTGACTTTGTGATGCTGAACTGAGTATCTCAGTCGGAGCACCTTTAAAACGTTTCTAAGTGATTAAACCGAAAACAATTTTAATATTGGTAAGTATGCTCCCAGTCGACTTGTTCATCAGGACCGCTTGAGCGCTTCAGCTCACAGGCTCTGCGGTCAGCAAGAGAACTTCCCCCGAAGTGGCGATGTTATTCGTCGTATAATTATTATTCAAGGAAACGAATTGGTCAAACATACGATCCACCTCTGTTATTCCACAAGCTCTGTCTCCATTGACGCGCCCGAGATACACGCCGCGACGAAAGCCACCCCCTACGCTGACACTGACTGCGTTAACTGGAATGGGGTTACCACGCTGTACCCTGACCCACTCGTACCTTGGTACAGAAAGAAATGATGGAGCACCTGACCATTGATAATAATTACGTTTTTCTATATCAGTTTCGCTTACTTCACAAATCTCATCGACGCTTTTATTTTTCCAGATTGTGCCAAAATAAACAGGGATTTGGTCAGGTCCTCGATTAACCTCTACCAAATCGGCTCTGGAAAATGAAGGAGCTCTTTCTTTGAATTCGAGCCAACGAGGCTTGGGATTGGATGGGCACACGCTAATTCCCTTTTTGTCTCCTTTGATTGTAATGCAGCCATAATGTGTAGGATCCACAGGCATACTTGTGCACCACACCTTGTTCCCGTCGTGTACTGAGATATACAATAAATTATCATTTTCAGCTGGAAATGGCATGGTTTCGCGATGCGGAAGATAGATAAAACCCCCTTGGGATGAAGTTTTGTAAGTTCGCCGCTCTTTCGCCCCTTTCATGTGTTTGTCATGCTGATTCTGTCCAATCTTACCGCCAATCTGAACCCCCTGTCCTTGAGCTTTAAGTCCAACGATGTGATCATTTATCTCGCTTTCCGTTACTTTGTCGCCCAGGACCCGTATGAATATCTGTTCGACATCTATGGTTTGGTTGGTCACATATACGTGCAATGTCCTTGGTACGCGCGCTAGTAATGCGGGGAAAAAACTAGGTTACTATAGAGGATTTCAACCACATATTTTTGTAGTACCTTTAATCCCGTTGAAATGAACAATGCGGAAGTTAACATTCCTACATGCAAAATTAATACGACTAATCAATGGAACTGTTCCAAAGTTATTATTTAGGGTATCGACTATGTCCGAAATATTTACCAAAGATACCCCTTCTGGTGGCCAGTATGTCGGCTAATACTGACTGCGGCCGGGAAGACAATCTCTCAGCCAAGGAAATCATCGGCCAACATACCAGCAAACCCAGCAAGGCATAAGGAGGTTTATTTATTCTTTATTACACGACTCGGGCAGTCAGAGGGCCAATAACTAAAATCAACCAAGCAAAATGCTCTAGTGCCGATCCAATATTCTCTAAGTATTGGACCGAGCACTGTCCCGAATGGTCCCGAATGATACCGCACTTGTGTCCCTTTGAACTTCAGTCGTATAATAAATCTCTTATTAACCAAGCTTGCTCGGGGCCGTACTGGAAGAATATCGGCCCTCGGTCTTTTTGTACGGACCTCGCTGCGCTCGGTCCGTACTGTCAAGACCTCGGGCCGATATTCTCCCAGTACGGCCCTCGCGCTTGGTTAATAAGATATATATAATCCTCCCATTAATTTTCGTATCGCGTATTGACAGTAAATTTTGCGAACTGTTTTTGTACTATACGAAGCAGCGTTTGAGATCGCTTTTTAATGTTACTTTCACTAGACTCTATAGAAAGAAAACGTTTTCTTACGAGAAACTCTTGAGCTAGCTTTTTTTTCTTCGCTGGATTTGTTTTTGTTTTGTTTTTTTTTTTTTTTACGGAAATAATCGGAGGACAAGTATCCCTTCGACGCAAACGGGGTTATTCCGTGATAACGGTGATCTTATACCACGTGACGTAAAGTAGCCAACAGAACTACCAAAAATGAAATGAGTGGGCTATATACTTAAGTATCAGTAGACCATTAGCTGGGTGCAACTACCAGACGCTTCTAATACACTTTTATCCAACTTGAACTTAACTGATTCAGTCACTGCATTTGCATGGCTCAGTGGAATGTGCATACTGTACATGTTTTCAAAGCCCTTGAATGAGGAGTATTAAACATTTACCTGGTTTGCTCTCTGGAGCGCCCATGGTTGTATAAAATGTAACTTGAACTTCTCCAAATGCCCCGAATCTAAGAAAATGTAACAGCGAAATGAGCCAATGAGAGCTGGTCTGAGTCATTCTTTTATACAAAACGCCGGAAAGTAATTCAAGGTGTAAATTTGCAAAATTTTCGTTTCACGCTGCCTGTTTATCTTCGTTAATCACAACTCAAGGCTTGGAGTTAACGACGGACAGATGCAAAGGTAGAAGTCGATCACTGACTGACTCAAAGAATGGTCAGTGAGTATTGGGAATGGGAAATGAATAGTAGGGAGGAAGAATGGAATTTAGAAAATGGAAGGTAAAGAAAAGAAATTGTTAACGGGAGAAAGAAGGATGGAGACAAATGATAGAGAATGCAAAATGAAAATCGCTGAATTTTTTGCAAGCGTGCAAAGTATTATGCAAATTTTCCGAGCGAGGAAGGATCTTATGTTAAGTGGAATCTATGAAAATGAAGCGAGACGAAAGTGACCAGAAATATTTCGGGACCGAAGCTTTATACAAAACAGTTCTGAATTTGTTGTTAGAAGCGAAAAACGATTGGGTTTCTTACATGTACGAAACTCACGTAGTAGAATTCATCATCATCAGATGGTTGTTTACTTGACTTCACGACCAGACAATATTATATATTAGGGACCTTAAGCAGTCAGGACGACGACACCGAAGAAGACGTCGATTACAAAATGAGTTTCTACATTTGATTAGAATTTTGATAATAGCTGCAGGTGTTTACTATCTCTTACGGCGCTCCAGCTCAACCTCAAAATAACATGTAGTAGCAGCCCTGAGTTCCTAATGGAAATTACAATAATTCGCCGCCGCGGTCTCCTTTCTCAGACGACGCAAATTTCGGTGATTTCACGTTGTTGTTTTGAGAGGACGGCTGATAAATGTACAAAGTTTTAAAACGCACGTGCTGAGCTATCGTTCTGCCAATTAGATCTTTTGTTTTGCCACGTTCTCGCTGCCGTCGCTGTCGTGATTTGCTTAAGGTCCCTAATAATATTGTGTAGCGCTGGGTTGAAAATTCTGAGAGTTCAACGTTTAGACTAAAAATCTTCTATAAAACAACCCTTTTTGTACTTATCCTTACTCCAAAATAATATTAATCGCGGGCCTTGGAATCTTCAAATTGTCCCTAAGCCTCGCTTGAAGTCCAAAAGTTCAGTTATTATTATACGGCCACAAAACGCCTCGCTTGAAGTCCAAAAGTTCAGTTATCATTATACGGCCACAATACGCCTCGCTTCAGAATATCGTACTGTTGTTGACTCAAAGCCTGTTCTGTCGCTTTTAAATATCCATTATCCTCCACGCACAGTATTCTATAGCATTTTTACTTTTCATTTTGAGTTCCAGAAGGTCTAACTTGATCGGAAATGAACGTAAAATCTGACTAGAATATTCTAAAAGTCGGCCGGACGGAGGCAATTTTTTCATATTTGATCAGTTGTTGTGAACAGTTAAAACGACGCCTCGTTCGTACCCAGCTAGTAAAAACGAATTTATCCTCTAACAACAGAGGAATTTGGAGACAAAATTAGAAAATTACACAAGACTTACCAGCAAAATGAATTTGAGCCACCTTCTGCAACGGGTGACGCTATATCGATGGCGTTCGTCGAGGGTAAGAGTAAACAGTAATCTTGGTCAGCGGGGAAATTATGAAACCCGCGAAACCCCGCGAAAGGATGGCATTTAAAAACTGAAGACAGTTTTTGACCAAGACACTAGAATGCGTAATCGTGGCGGCGACTCTATGAATATGAATATATGAAAATCATCTATGTGTACTGCGGTTTCATGAAATGTATGAAAGCGTTCCTCGCAGTAATAAACCCTACTTATCCAGTAGCGACTGACCCTGTTCTGCCAACAGAGGAGCGAACACGATAGGCATGCAATGTCTACTTTCAGTGCTTAAGTGAATGATAATGAAATATATGTTCCGTCCGCTGTAGGGGAAACATCAACGTCTGCATAGTGTTGCACGACAACGATGGAGAAGATTGGCTGGGAGGCGATAGTTGTGGCCAGTACCTCCTCGCAAGTTAAAAGTGGATTTCTCATACCCTCTCTCTGCCCTTGTTAATTTCACAACGTCGTTGCGGATTAGCGACATAAATTGATAGAGAATATTCTTCACAGGCTAGGCTGTGAACAATTCCTGAAATTCCCG